TGAAATTTTTAATCCTTTTAAATAATGCGATATAACAATTGAGGCGTTTCTCGGAAAAACATCATTAGTCCAATATCGTCGAAATTTAGATATTAGCACCAACTGTTTCCTAACCTCCATATATATGTATACAAATAAGTGTTTCTCGTAAAAATGTCATAGGTTCCATAATAATTAAATATGAAATTTAGCTTGTTCTTCTAAAAACATCACAAGTCCACTCCGTTTCGTCTAAGAAAGTCACATGTGCATAACATGTGACGTTTTTGAACACTCTATAGAAAAGCTTCTACCTCTTTTACATGACCACAGCAATAGAAAATTTTATAATAACTTGATAAAAGACCAGAAGACCATAGCACCTGACAGTCCTGATAGCACGGTCGACAACGATGATAACAGCAGTGGATGCGAAGTGTGGCAGTAATACAGTTTTTAGTTTTTTCATTTATTTTGTTACTCAGAGTTAATATTTAGTTTGTAGTAAGGAGAATTGTTCGTTTTTTTCTTCTAAAAACCTCACATGTTCATGTATTTTTTGTGTTTTTTCCATATTCGTCGAAACAAAAAACATGAGGAATTCTGGACAAAGTATCTTACATTTTTTTACATGTAGTAAATAGGTCAATAAAGTACTTTGGTAAAAAATGGGAATGTCGGAGAGTTTTTTTCATTTCCCCAAATATGTTAATTTTGGACTAATGATGTTTTTCCGAGAAACGCGTCAATTATTGTAATCTCAAATATCTCTGAAACGGTTTATTTTATCGAAGTTTGAGAAGTACACCTTTTTAATGGTAGCCGAACTGTTTAATAGATAAATTGCATCAAATGTTACAAAAACCTAACCTCAAAGTTTATATGGGACAATAAGCTTAAAGCAACTCCCGTTTCTACGACACTGTGTTCACTCAAACAATTGTAATTATGTGTGAATATGTGTTTTGGTAGTAAGTGACTGTTCGCAAAATATCACCTTTCCAAGTCTACCATAGTAGAAGTTATATTAAAAAAACTGATATGATAAGTAACACTTTATCACCCTGTAACTTTTAAACAAACGTAATTAGGAAAAATATTTATTAAGATTTTCGTCTTATTTTGACTTCCTTAATCTGCTCCTAAATTTATGCCACTAAGTTTAGGGACACCTTGTATATATACAATTACTATTATATCCACAATTATTATTAACCAAGTAGGTTTTTCTAAATAACATTTTATTTGCAGACAATATGGCCACCAAAACGATGGATCAGTTTACTGACGACCTTTTGAAAGAAAAAATATTCCACTGCCAGATTTGCGATGAACTTTGCACGTCCGATGTTTTCCTGGTCAAAGGTAAAGGAAATTTGTGTGAGAACTGTTTTGAAGAAAAGTGTGGGGAGGAAATGAAATCCAGGGCTGAATTAAACACAGCCCTCATCCTAATTATGGCCAAGCTGATGCTGCCGTGCAAATATCAGTCCAGTGGTTGCGGTAAGAGTTTGGAGTCCAAAAAGTACTCCAAGCACATTGCTACTTGCGATTTCAAAACTAAACCGTGCCCGATGAAGAATCTGGAGGGTTGTGATTGGAGTGGAAGCAATTTCAAAGTGAGCGGTCATTTATTGGAAAATCATCAAAAGCACGTCGTTAAAAGTGAAAATAATATTTTTAAAGTTGAGTCGTCCTTGTCTGAACCTTTCAACGTGAAGTTATTATCTGATGATTACCAAAACTGCCTTCTAAAGACTTCAGTTGTTGATGATAAATTTTATTACGCTTTAAATCCGGTTGAAAAATCAGAAAAAAATATGGAATACTCGGTGGAGCACAAACGTATTCAACCACCAAACCATTCAGTATTAAAAACAGTAGGTACACTTACAAAACTGAATGGTATTTATAACGAAGAAAACCTGGATAAAAACCCCAACGCGACTGCGGTGGACATCGATCAGTTGAAACCTTTTGCGGACGAAAAAAATATGATTTTAAACGAATTCGACTTAAAACCGGAAGAGATCGACAATAATATATTGAAACTATTGGAATGTCCAGTCTGTATAAATACCATGCGACCGCCAATTTATAATTGCGCCAACGGACATAGCATTTGCATAATATGCAAAGAACTAACAAATGAATGCCCCACATGTAAGGAAGGGTGGACCAGTTCAAGGTGTTACTTTATAGAAAATTTAACTTTAAAAATCAAGTATCCATGTAAATATAGTAAATTGGGATGCAACGAAATTGACATTGAAAGTCAATTAAGGAAACATGAAGAAACATGTCCGTTACGTATCTATCAATGTCCAATGGATTGCTCTGAAACTGGAAACTTTGAATTTATTTTAGAACATTTAAAGACTAAACATGGGAATGCGAAATATACTGGAGAGATAGTGGAAAAAATATTTAATCAAGGAGAGCTTAAATGGATGCTGTTTGATTCAAAATTATTCAGAATATCGTATTATTTTTCGTCTCCCAATGATTATTGGGCCGTCGAATTGGTTTGCTCCAATGAAAACCCCAAATTGTATACTTATGAAGTTAAAATTTTAAATCATGGAAAGGCATTAGGATGGACATTAGTAAAAGATTCCACTTGCTTTAAAGAAAGAACGCAGCGACCGTTACAAAGAATATCAGACTGTTTGAATTATTGTGATCAAATTCCCATGACATTTAATGTTACTATTAAAAAAAGTAATTAATTACACTGTGCACCAAAAAAATATCTGAGTTTTACAAAAAAATGAATATGTGTTTTTCATATTAGGTCCAGTTTTAGAGATGTTATGTTTTTATTTTAATTAATTTGAATTTTTGTTTACTGGATTCATTTTTCATGGTATTAACCCAGATATTTTTATCAAATGTTATAACACAGACTGTGTTACACAGTGTATTTATAACTTATCAAACTTTTTATTACTTTTGTAAATCCTTTATTATATTTAATATGCGTTTTGTGTTTTACTATATAAGCTATTTTATTTTACCAGGTAGGTACCTATGTTATGTTTAAATAAAATTAAAGGCATGCACTAAAATACATGTATGAATATTTATTAAACCCATACTATCCAACAGAGAAGTATTTATAACAATCTGGACTAAATTATTTAAAATTTGCTAGGCTAATTTGTTAGTGAAAAACGATATAAGTATTTCAAAAAACGCCCCATATATATAAGGGGACGTTCACATAAAGTCACGCTTAAGGGGGGGGGGGGTCGAACATTTTGCAACGAAGTGTACCAAGGGTCATTTGCTACGTGACGTTACGTTGAATTTATACAAAATTTAATGTTCATTTAAATTTTTGCGCAGATTATAATAGTAGGTAATAATTATTATTATTATTTTCAAAATATAAATATTTTCCCAAAATGTCGGTCTTAAAGAAAACGATTCAAAATAATTAAAAACAGTTTAAATTATTTTCAATCGAAACTAATATAAGTTTTTTGTTTTAATCGATCTTAATCGGAGAATATTGTACTGAGATTTTAATCACTTTTTATCCACAACTGTCATTTTCACAGCTGTCATTACAGCACCTGTCATTTTGACAGATGTAATTTTGGCACCCGTAATTTTAACAGCTGTCATTTAGGCATCTGTTATTTTGACAGATGTCATTTTGACTTCCACTTTTGCACTTGTCATTATGGCACTTGTCATTATGACAACTGTCATTATGACAAGTGTCATTATGACAGGTTTTTAGTCACGGGCTGAAGTTAGTTTTAAGTTAGTTGATAGTTGTCAAATGTCATACAATCGTTAAAATAAAGTGCCTTTCTTGTAAAATAATACTAAATGTGAAAATTATTTTATTATCTCATTACAAAAATACAAAAATATTAAATAGTTTCTTAACGCCAATATTTGAAAAGTTTATATGAACATTGTAATGACCTTTTAATTTCGCCGGCAGTAAACTATAACTTAAATTCGGGCACGGACTCCACTGTAAAGTCCTCATAAAACATTTCCTTTACTTACACTGTGAAAAACTGTCAATTTTCAATATACATTTCGATTTATAACCTTTATAATTGTGTTTATAAAATGTAAAAATGTGACATTTGACAGTTTCCCCTGTTGTTTCATAGATGGCGCTCAATACAAATTTTTGATTTAAATCATTTTAAGATAATAATAAGTACTGTCTGTCCACTCTAAGTTGGCGGAACTAAGGAATTTTGTAGTTTAGATATTAAAGAGTTGTCGTGCTGTGTGCTTTTAAAACAGATTTTATATTATAAATAATACTAGTACATATTATATACTAGTATTTTTTATAATATAAAATCTGTTTTAAAAGCACACAGTACGACAATTCTTTAATATCTAAACAACAAAATTCCTTAGCTCCGCCAACTTAGAGTGGACAGACAGTATTTGTCGTAGAAAAAGTATAGTATGCACCTCGTTTATAAACTTTTCTATACACTCAATAATTTAAATTAAATTTGTTTATAAAACTTGATACATAATATACTATTAAAATTTGTTCTTCTTGATTATATTTTACTGATTTTAAGGTGAGGAAAATTTGACACATATTCGGAGTTTGTTTGTATACCAATGTTGGCAACACTGCTGAGTGTTGTCATTTGTTTTTAAAAATGACAGTTGTTAGTTTTTATAATGTACCTAAATATTGTGTTAAATAAGGCAAAATTACGTGGATTGTGTGAAATACAAGTGTAAAAGTGTTATAAACATCTTGAGACGTTGCATGCATTTCTTGAAGGTAAGTTTTTGTGTCCAATTAGTCTAAAATTGTTTTAATTAATAATTTATTAATCATATACCTACGCCTTACAACATAATTTACTACAATACTTGCTTTTTAATAATAATAAATTATTCTCTATGTTACCCTGTGACTAGAAAATCTAATAATAATTGCACATTTATTTCAATATTTATACTATTTACATTAAAGTTAAAAAAATTAAAACAAACAAAATTGTTGGGGGCAATTTTTTAAGTTAGGCGCCTTTGTAAGGGAAACCCAATTGTTTTGTATCGCCTACTATGTCTATATCGCTTTCGCAGTCGCTGATGTCAGAATTTGTGGGAGAATTTTGCCCTTGGTGGTGTGAATCCAAGTTTACAGCGTCTGAAACAATAAAAAAATTAATTTAATTACATCGGTGATATCACAATCCACATATATATAATCCTAGATATACTAATATATAATTTGAACAAGAAAGTGGTGGAAAGTTCCCAAATAACCTTCAACAAGTTTGCAATGTCACTGAAGTAAAGAGTTTGTTTTCTGTCCTTATTCTAGCCTACTGAAGACGAAGGAAAACTGATTTATCTTTATTAAGTTATACGGAGGGGACATAAAAAGAAGGGCGGCAACGTCTTGAACTCCCTAACTTTGTTTTGAAGCGGGTGAACCGTGCACAGTGAGTCAGATATGCGATTTTAGGCGGACAAAAGTCCAAACTTAAAAACCGTGGCTCGATTTGTTGTGTTGTTGGGTGTATTTCGAGAGGAAATCCTGGGTTGAGTTTTTACCGGTTTTCCAATAAACAGCGTTAATCTGAATGAAAAAATAAATTGCATACAGTCTCTGTAAATATAAATTGTACCTATTAGATACAATAAATACACATTTTAGTAGTGATTAACGTGAAAAGTGTAAACATTTCAATTCAGTAAAAATCGTCAAACAAATAAGTCGTCTAAATTTAAACAGCATTTAGCACTATTAAATGCGTTGATTAAGAAAGTCTCCACTCAATGGTAAAATACCATTATATTATGTATTATATATAATATTATGTTGCCATGAATTCGTAGGTATATTTTGTTGTTAAAATGCAGTTGTCGGCGTTTTTTAGAGAACTCAAACATAAAAATGGTTGATTTTAAGGTTATGTTTGTGCGAAAATTATTTCTTAAAAATGTCCAAACTAAAATATAAATTATATTAGGTAAAGTTATTATTAGTAAATTCTGCACCAACAAATGCACTTACCGAATTGGATCCTTCGGCAAAACATGAAAATGCAACGATTTAGTTCTTGAATTTTATTTACAATTAAAAACGCAATAATTCACCATGATCCCTTAGATAAAATTCACACACTAACGTAACTATATAAGCATTTAAGCGTTTCTTAATCAATGATATAAGGAATAATCAATCGAAATCGAGTACTAAAAAGTTTTTTATAAATAAACTTATACTTCTTTAGAGTATACCTACAATAATCTTAAATATCTTACAGAAAAACTTTTTTAATTTTTCGACCTAAAACTTTATTTGCTCACTCTTCTCAACTGATACTTGCAAATAATTTTGTCCAGTTGGATTTTCAAAGTATATCAGTGTGCGACGTTAGAATTTGCTAAGACGTCGCCATCTTCTAAAATAATTTCGTTAAATTTGCCCGCTTTATTATGTAACTTTGCCCCCTAATTGATGTTTAAGATCCTACTGAATAATGAAAACGGTACAGTCAAATGAGAAAGGACAAAATAGCTCAGTTTAATGTATATAATAAGTAAATCGTTTTTTTATAATTTTTTGATGTTTTTCATGAGAGTAAAACATGTCCATGATACCAAGTTTAATAAAAACTTAGAGTTAATTTGTAGTGTAATTTTCCCCAAGTAAGCAAGTATGATTTAACCAACTCAATGATTTAACACTATAGCACTGAGGATAAAGTAATTATACACTGCACTGAAAGAAATATATGTTTGTTTTAGCAAATGTATGTGGTTCATATATGAGTACCTTAGATGCAAAACTCGGTTTTTGCAAATTAAAAAATAAAATAAAATTGACTTTAAATTCTGTTTAGTGTTCGTCCTAGATAAATGGCGTTTATAAAACTTGATACATAATAATATTATATTATATATATTATTATGTATCAAGTTTTATAAACGCCATTTATCTAGGACGAACACCAAACAGAATTTAAAGCCAATTTTTTTTTTTTTTTTAATTTGCAAAAACCGAGTTTTGCATCTAATGTACTCATATGGACTACCACATACATTGCTAAAACAAACATATATTATATTTAGTTTTAACATAATATGTTAAAACTAAATATAAAAATGGTTAAGGTAAATATATTTTATGTTTCATATATAGACTACCACATACATTGCTAAAACAAACATATATTTCTTTCAGTGTGTATTAAAAAGTGTTAATTTACCTAAAATCCCCATTTTGTTCAGTGTAAATTAATACCACTTTGTTAAGTTCTAATTTTAGAAAGGTACTTTTACTCTTTTAGTGAAAACTTCTAGTGTAAATTAACACTATTATTTGAGTAAAACCTATTGGTGGTAGTGAATAAAACGAAAAGGCAAATAAAGAGAAACATTTATTTGGAACAAAAATCTAATTATCTAAATCGGTGCCTTTTAAAATATTATTTTATATTTGAGTCGTATGGCTGGCATAAGCAAAATGGTTCCTTAAAACGTAAAAGTTTTAGATCAATGCAATGTTTCACTGGATGTCAACTTGTAAGCAATGAATTATCTTGAGAATTCATCAGTAATCCATTTTTCTGTTATAAAAAATGGATGATCCCATTGGTAGAGAGGCGTCAGGCGGCTGTATGTCGGGGATTTACCACACGTGTACAAATTTTCCATAATATTAATAAAAATGTAGGTATAAGTTAATATAATAACCATTACGCTTGAAAATAAAAAGTAAATTAAGTGTGTATATATTCATATTATTAATGTTACAAGTACCCGACCTACTGCCGTAAATATAGGTCGGGCATGGACATCCTTTTAACATATTGGTATTTATTGAGTATTAAGGCTTAAAGAAAAAGGAAGTATAATACCTACCAAAAAATAAGAATGTCCCCTTATGGATTCACCGTAATTAAAATCTAACTGAACAAAAATGCCACACTTCCACAACGCGGTATCTCCGAAAATGCACTGCGTAGGTAGATAGGTACCAACCAAACATTTTAAAACGCATTTCAGTTATTACCAATTTTTTCAGTCTATTTTGCCACTATTGGTGTAATTTAACTTTAATTGTGATACAAATTGTGCACATATGTGCACATATGTGCACTAGTAGTGTAAAGAAAAAAGAGCTCTTAGTAACATCAAAACAGACAAAGAAATTGACATGCACTGTAGTGTACATTTTGTCACTATTTAACACATTAAGGGGTAATAAACACTCGCATTAAGTTTTTCTACCCTGTTGATTTATTTTAATAATAAATAGTGTGAATGTACCAATGAATAATGTTCATATTCTTTAAATGTGTTTAATAAAGTTAATAAGCACTAAATGCTACCTAGTGTATTTTGTAGTGTAACTTTTACACTTACAAATCAACTCTAATATTTTTACCCCTACACTAAAAAAATTACACGGGCAAAATTTTTTTAAAATACACTTGGCCTGCCCCCCTAGATCCGGGCCTGCGTAATTATGTTAAAATTCGCCATTTACTATAAGTGACCACCACTCTCAAGAAACGAACATGTCTGATCTCTTAAATGGACCTTGAGACCTCAATCTTATTAAATTAGCAGCCATTTTGTAACATATTAAGAAACCTTTGCTAAAAAAGTAAGAATCTTAATAGTATATTAAAGAACTATAATGTCATAAGACGTCTTTTTACAATTTTATCTATTTAGCGAATATTCTATAAAAAAAATTAATTTTTTTACCTTAAATTTAATTTTACTTTAGATAGTTGGTATCACAGTCATTGGTTTGACAGTTAATGTCAAAATCGATTCGCCATGCCGTCCTTGATTTACTTATTTACAATAAGCGGCTGTTAATGTTAAAGAAGAAAAAAAGGATTTTCTTTGGTGTTAAACAAAATTATTGCCAGAAAAGTCTCGTAAGTACTAGAAAAATCATAAAAATATTATAACCAAATGCAAAATATTATGCTGTTTAAAGTATAGCCAACCTATAAAATCAAAATTTTGGGTGGGATAAAGTATCTCATTACAGCACCGAAAGCGGTGTTATAATGAAGTCAGTGGCGTAACAAATTCTGAGTGGGCCCCCCCGCAAACGATTTTAATGGGCCCTCTTTACAATAATTAAAAAGTTTATTTAATAGGTAATTTTTAAAATAGTTTATCATAGTACTTTTAAACCTACATTATATACATAATATCTTTTAAATTAAAATTTTTGACAGGTAGGTATAGAGTGTATACGATACGATAAGCAAATAAAAAAGGATTAGGTAAGAAAAATTGCTGTATCTGCAATTTTTGGTAGTAAAACATAAAATATTTAATTAATTTTGGTTTAAAAATATCTTATTCTAAATATATACCTTTTTATATGCAGGATCATTTTCGTAATTCTATACAGGGTGTTATGTAATTAATGTTATATATTAAAATGGGTTGTTCCTTAGGGTCCATAAAGAAGCACCTGAAACTTTTTTTTTCTAAATTCCAAAGTCTAAAAATAATTTATAATAACCTTTATCCTACCAAAAAGTACGCCACTGATCGACTAGGAACTTTAGGTTAATCTGGTGGATTTATTATGTTATGGTTGGTAACAGTATTTCCAAAATCTCTCAAAAAAGTTGACAAACATTGTTTAAATTTAGCTTAATTACAAAAATGACAAAATTAACAATGCAAATTGTCAATTTGGCGTTTTTATTAATTGTTGGTTATTTCATTTTTGTATTGAAGGTAAATTCAAACAAAATCTGCCAACTTTTATGAGAGAATCTAGTGCATTTCTTTTAAATTTTAGGTTATGTTTTCAAATTGTAAATATCTTAACTAAGGGAAGTGCTTTTGGATTTATTTACACAAATTAAATGTTTAAAGTTTAACCTGTGAACTGGTCCCAATTTCATCTGAGTAAACAGAGAAAAAAACTGATGAAAAAAATAATTTTGTGGTTATGGATTTCAAATTTCAAAGGTACTAAATTTTCTAATCATTGCTTAAGCTAATAGCTGGATCAGTAAATAAATACAGAAGGGTATTAGAGCTTTAAGGGCATAAAACTTTTGTATTCATTGAGTTTTTATTTATTTTTTGCAAGAAAAATGTTTAGTAACAATTTTTTACATCTGGCAACGCATAGCTACTTTGTTGGTTGGTATTTATGTACTCACAAAATACAGGTGTGCAGAGATAAACAAGTGTGTAACCAGTGGCGTATCACAAAAAATATAAAAAACTTCTAATGCATATTTTTTCTTTATCTTTGGAAAAATGTTTTTTTAAATATTTTTCCTTTATTCCTTATGTCAAAAGGTATTCAGTATTTTAATATATAACATTAATTACATAACACCCTGTAATATATAATATCTTATTAAGATTCTTTTAAAAAAATATTTAAATAATAATTACCTAAACATTTTCTGTTCTTATTACCAAATTTTGCCTTTCTTAGAACGGCAGTATTATACTATTACATCAGCAATAATAACAATTTAAAAATAATAATAATTTAAAAAATGTATACCTACATATTAGGGTGAGCCAAAAAAACTAACCTATCGGATTTATGGGTTAAAATGAACCTACATACCGAGCAAAAAATTTCCCTGCAAGGCAAAATTTTTTGCTCAATTTTAAAAGGTGTCGGTGAGCATTTTAAGTTTTCCATTGAAACTGCAGTTTTAGTGATTTTTTGCACTTTTCAAAGCTTTCAAACATACGAATTTTTGAATTAAAAAAAATAATCCTGGTATAGATTCTTTGGGAAATTTTATGCTCTACAAGAATCCGCGACGTAAAAAAATTTATCTCAAACGGTTTAAAAGTTATAGTCTTTTTAATGAAAAAAGATTTTTTTACGTGTTATTTCAATGGAAAACTTAGAATGCTCACCGACACCTTTTAAAATTGAGCAAAAAATTTTGCCTTGCAGGGAAATTTTTTGCTCGGTATGTAGGTTCATTTTAACCCATAAATCCAATAGGTTAGTTTTTTTGGCTCACCCTACTACATATCTTACCAAGTTTAAACAGTCTTGAAAAAAAATTAAAAACATATTGTAGACAGTCTTAAAGAAGTTAAATTAAAAAAAAAATTAAAAACAAACACAAAATGCGATTGTCTAAGTATTTATAGATTTACTATAAAAAACGGTCTGATCTTCTAGAGTTTTTTTTGCAAATTCCGTTATAATATTGTCAATGTTTAATGTCTTAATAAACTCATGTTCAATACTAATAATTGATAAATTACAAAGACGTTGTTTTCCCATAGTGTTACGAAGATATGTTTTCACTATTTTTAGTTTCGAAAAAGAACGCCTTGGGCCCCCTGACCGTCTGGGCCCCCCCGCGGTGCGGGGTCTGCGGGGGTGCTTATTACGCCACTGAATGAAGTAATTATGAACGCAAAGTAGATAAAACATTGTTTAAAAGATTTCTTGACAATTTTTTAATAAATTACCTGAGAAAACCCAGGGCAAATTGGGCTAACTTGAAAAGTAATCTGTCATTGTAAAAATGATAAAAAATAGCAGTAAATAAAAAAATAGACAAGTCAAACATTTTTAAAATTTAAAAGTAGATATTACAGCTCAGGTTTCAGATTTTTAAACGCAATTAATTATTTTTTACAATGTTTTAAAAGTCTAAAACCTATCCTCCGTGAATGTTACTCTTTCTAGGTTAACCTATACGTTTTCAAATATCTGAGGTAGTAAAAGCATACTAAAATATCAGTTCACTAAGTAAATTAAACACATCCAAAGCAATCGAATCAAATATAAAATATTATTTAAAATTTATATAACCATTTATGTACACACACTCAAAAATGTTTTGCATAATGGAATATTTTTAAAACTAAATGAGATATTTTTAAATACAGGTACAAAAACTATTGTATTGCATTAAAAACATTGTGAATACATAAAAAATTATTGAAGTTTTCATAATAATTAAAAAAAAAGTAAAACTTTACGAAATTAAATTTATTCAAACATTTAAAATCTGTACAAATGTTCAGAAAAGTTCAGTGGCATTCTAGATAATATGCAAAACATTTTTGAGTGTGTGTAGGTGTTACAAAAATTGATTCTATCCTCCGTGAATCTGTTTTTGCTTTAAATTTTATGCAACGGATGGCGCTTTAATCATTTTAAATAAGCAAAAACCTCTGTTTACGACATTATAGATGCTTGTGAAGTGTTATATCTCAGTAAGTAGATTTTTTTTATAAATATTTTATGTATTTTTTAAAAATATTAAAGTGTCAAAAGATACAATAACTTATTTCAAATATAATAATAATAATAATAATAGGTATTTATTGCCCAACAGTACATACCATAAATGGACATTCATATAATAGTGTTTACTTACAAATACTAGCTTATAAATAAATATTACAAATAAGTTAAAAACAATATATAAATAATTAAAAATATAAATAGTTAACAATTTTTACAATTAACAATATAAAACACTAGGATAAACAATTTTTTATAAAGCTTAAGGAAGAAAAATTTATATCACAGGAAGTAGAAATAAAATTGAATATATTGCACATAACATATAAAGGAGATTTTTTAAGTGTGTTTGTACGAGCAAAGGGACATCTAAACGTTATACATTGTCGGCTATTACAACGAGGAATATTAAAGCACAATTGACCCAACAAATTCATGCAATCGATCTGATCATGAAGAAGTTTATACAAAAAAGTTATTGAAATAATTTTTCTTCTCAATTCCAAAGACAATACATTAAAAGTCTCTAACAGAACTAAATGATCATAACCCTGTGGTGGATAAAAATTGAATATTCTAAAGTTAAGAATTTTTAGGAATTTACGCTGTACATTTACAAAGGGATGTTAAAAAAAACATACGAAATCCTATCCTCCGTGAAGCTCTTATTCAAAATGTATTTTTTTTCTTAAAATTCTTGCATTAGTGACCTTTAAAAAATGCAGTAGTCGCACTAATTGCCCCAATTAATTGGACTTACGTACATCGAACAAAAGTACTCGTAAATCTGATATGTATCATATTTCTTGGAAAGCCTCTTAGCCGTTGAATGACGTGAGCGCCGTTCGCGGCCGTACCCATAACTAACAACCCCATAGGGACGTCATTAAAAAGGCATTATACTGTCAGTTAAAGCTAAACGTCTCCTTTTGACGTCACCACGTTAAATCCGAAGAAGGATTTTTGATTGCCATCGAATATGTTGTAATTACACTGACAGAAATATTAACCTATCCTTAAATTAAAAAGATGTTGACCCAATATTTTCAAGGCTAAAACTAACATTAAACTAAATATTAATCTTTCTTTAAACAAGCAGATCTTATTCTTGCCTGTTAAATGTTAAGAAACACTTTAAATGAAATAATCTTATTCTTAATGAGCCAATCCAAATGAAAACACCAAAAATGAATTTAAAAGTGCGCTGCATGATTTTTTATTTTAATGAAAAAAATTTGAGGATGATCTTTTAGGTATCATATATGAAAAACCGTTGCCTAATTTTTAGTTGCTTTATTTTTAATCGGCACCCTTTAGAAATCTGAAATCGTGTCATTTTCTTACTCTCTTATAAGAGGCTAAAACTTTTTTTCTGCGGCAATTATTCAAATGATTGTAATTTTATTTTACTGCCCAGTAAGTATGTTTTCAATATTAATTATTATTATCTAATTAGTTTATCTCATAAAAGAATTTGTAATTTTTGTGATTTTTGTCTGGTTCCTGTGCCTATTCTGCTAAATCTAGAAAGTTGCTTTTTTTCAGGTATCAAGTACTTATACAATAGAAAACGTAACTATTATTTTAAGTTACTAGACTATCATTTTCCTTATTAAAAAAATTATTGAAACTTGATAATTCTTAAAATTAGTCAATTTTGCCCTCAGAAATCATTATGTTGAGGAAAAAATAAAAATCTGAAACTTTCAGGAAATGTAGTCCCCACCTTCATCTTTTCAGTCTAGTTAGTCTTGTTTTGTTATTTTTATCCACGTAAAAGATATAATAATTTTTTTAATGCAGTTCATAAGCGATATTGTTAGTTTTATTTATAATTTAAAATTCAGATGGCTTTGACTTATTCAATTCATGTTTGGTAGAGAAATGTCAGAACTGTCAAAAATATTTCATAAATATTATTTGTGAAAATTTAAATTGTTTGCAAGTTTGCAAGTGTAATAAATGACGGAGTGTTCGAGATTCATGAATTTAATTGCAATTAAAAATGCAAGAACATATCATTATTTTGTGCCTCTTTCTCATAGAAAATATTCAAGTTCTGAGAAGTTTTAAATTGTTAAAAATAAGCAAAAACCAAAAAATATTCTAAATAAACCCCTTTATTATAACATGTTTTATTTTAACCAGTTACCTAAAAACTAAAATTTAAAGAAGTATTTACAGATTGTGTAATTTTTTTTCCAACACTAACATTTAAAATACATACATATGACTTCAGTGGCGTATTTAGGATTTAGCTCCGGGGGGGGTCCAAAAAAACTAACTAAATATGTACTATGCTATGCTTTAATACGTAAGTAGTTGATTTTTGATTTTATTGATTTTATATTTAAATATAATTAATAAATAATAAAGTACGTTGACAGTCTTGAGGTTTTTATTTTTTTAAAACTTTTTTTTGTAATAAAAATAATAAAATATGTGCGCCCGGGGGGGGGTCCGGACCCGGCGGACCCCCCCCTAAATACGCCACTGTATGACTTTTAACTATTCAGTGCCTTACTAAAGGGATCAAAATAATAGAACAAGACTAACTTGGTTTAAATTGTAAAAGAAACCGACAAAAAACTGCTTAACGCATTTTTTATACGTTTAAATTAACTCTTTATTAATTTCACTTATTATAAGTACACTTTACGAAATAAACCATAAGGATCTTGAATATACAGGGTGTTATGTAATTAATGTTGTATATTAAAATGGGTTGTTCCTTAGGGTCCATAAAGAAGCACCTGAAACTTTTTTTTCTAAATTCCAGTCTAAAAATAATTTATAATAACCTTTATCCTACCAAAAAGTACGCCACTGATCGACTAGGAACTTTAGGTTAATCTGGTGGATTTATTATGTTATGGTTGGTAACAACAGTATTTCCAAAATCTCTCAAAAAAGTTGACAAACATTGTTTAAATTTAGCTTAATTACAAAAATGACAAAATTAACAATGCAAATTGTCAATTTGGCGTTTTTATTAATTGTTGGTTATGTCGTTTTTGTACTGAAGGTAAATTCAAACAAAATCTGCCAACTTTTATGACAGAATCTAGTGCATTTCTTTTAAATTTTAGGTTATGTTTTCAAATTGTAAATATCTTAACTAAGGGAAGTGCTTTTGGATTTATTTACACAAATTAAATGTTTAAAGTTTAACCTGTGAACTGGTCCCAATTTCATCTGAGTAAACAGAGAAAAAAACTGATGAAAAATTAATTTTGTGGTTATGGATTTCAAATTTCAAAGGTACTAAATTTTCTAATCATTGCTTAAGCTAATAGCTGGATCAGTAAATAAATACAGAAGGGTATTAGAGCTTTAAGGGCATAAAACTTTTGTATTTATTGAGTTTTTATTTATTTTTTGCAAGAAAAATTTTTAGTAACAATTTTTTACATCTGGCAACGCATAGCTACTTTGTTGGTTGGTATCAATGTACTCACAAAATACAAGTGTGCAGAGATAAACGAAGTGTGTAACCAGTGGCGTATCACAAAAAATATAAAAAACTTCTAATGCATATTTTTTCTTTATCTTTGGAAAAATGTTTTTTTAAATATTTTTCCTTTATTCCTTATGTCAAAAGGTATTCAGTATTTTAATATATAACATTAATTACATAACACCATGTATATTATATTAAAAAATAAAAATAATATCTCAAAAACCTTGCCATAAAAAAGTTAACCTCTAAATTCTTATAAAATGTGCGAAAAACGTACCACCATTGACTTTGTCCGTCCCCGAAATTTTCCCGCTCTGGGAAGCACCTGTAGACTTGTCGTCCTGCATTTTTCTCAGCTGCTTTTTGTGCTTCATCCTGCGATTTTGAAACCACGTTTTCACCTGCGTCTCGCTCAAACTCAACGCGCTCGCCAGCTCGACGCGTTCCGGCGTCGAAAGGTAACGTTGCGACGAAAACCGCTTTTCCAAACCTAAAATTAAAAAAAAATATTTTTATCCCACCGTGCGTATATGCCGGGCAAAACTTCGTTTTGTCCCACCGTGCATGCCGGTCAAAAATATTTTTATCCCACTGTGCATACATGCCGGGTAAAAAATAGTTTTATCCCACTGTGCATTTTGCCGGGCGAAATTTTTTATGCCGGGTAAAACTTGGTTTTGTGCACAGTGCGTAGTCTTTACTTGCCTGTTAGTTGAGGGTCACTAAACACCGTCCTGGCTTTTCTTCTTCTGCAGTGTTTTAGAGCATTAAGAGATATTTCGCTTGCAGAGTTTCCAAATAGGGCTGGATGAAAGGAAATACCTGAAAAAAATTATTTGGTTTTAGACTTTTCGAAAATTGTCTTACGCCTTACGTCAACCAAAATGTCAATTTTAAGCACTTTGATTGGTTGACGTAAGGCAATAATTGTAGACCAAGCTTTAAATTATTAACGTTTGAATTTTTTTTGCACAAAGTGCAAAACTTTGACGTCTATCTTTGCCTGTGCACACAGCAAATGTTTGGTAAATTTTTAAGCACAAAAGATTTATATTTAATTAAAACTTTAAACAATAGGTCTATTATGCGAAAAAATTAATATATAATTAATTTTGAAATATAACGAGAATAATTGTCGGAAAATTAAATTTAATATTCTGGATGGCTTATTAATTAATATTCATCGCAAAATTAATTATTGTGTCAATTTAATTACAATATTATATACGCTAAAGAAGAATCGGGTTTTCGTTTTACGTTGCAAGGAAAAAACCAAAAAAACTGGTTTAGTACTCGATTTCGATTGATTATTCCTTATATCATTAATTAAGAAACTCAACGCTTAAATGCTTATATAGTTACGTTAGTGTGTGTATTTTATCTAAGGGATCATGGTGAATTATTTTGTTTTTAATTGCAAATAAAATTCAAGAACTAAATCGTTGCATTTTCATGTTTTGCCAAAGGATCCAATTCGGTAAGTACATTTGTTGGTGCAGAATTAACTAATGATAACTTTACCTAATATAATTTATATTTAAGTTTTTAAGAAATTAGTAAAATATTTGTTACTGCTTGTTATACGGTCCACTTATAATAATTTTTTACTGTAGATCAAACTCAATCGAATAAAAAAACTATATGTATTTGTATGTAAATGTATATTATGTATACTTTAAGCTGAATTAGAAAATCTACCACAATTTTTAACAATTAAATTTAAAATTTGTAAAATAATAAAAAAATAATTATTTCAACTTGCAAATTGTATTCGTTGTTTGGTTGGATTTTTATAAATTTTTAGAGTTTTGTTTACTTTTTATTTTTTTTGACGTTTTTTTCAGAAAAATGTGTTTACCTAGCTTTATATGTCTCCACTGTGTTACCAATTTGAAATCCAAAATTTAATTCAATAAAAAAAGTTGTTATAAAAATAATTTGAAATAAAATGTACTTGGTTCACAAACTTTTGACTCCAATTTTATTTTTTATTAAAAATTTATGTCTTTTTTAAATATTTATGTTAGTTTAGTTACTTTTTAAAAGACACCATTCCGATTCTTTGTTAAATAAACAATATATTGTTGGTATGGTATACCATTAATATTTTCTTTTAGTCACTGTATTAGCGAGTTAAACTCTAATTTATAAACAGGTATTATCAAGTGATAGTAAAATCATTTTAAGGATTTTTTTAACAAAAACTAAAAAAAGTAACGAAATAGACATTGGTATCACAACGGACTGGGGTAAATAAAATCACTTGCAGAATAACAACTTAGATTTCTAAATTATAGACACCCTTTTTCTTTGACTATAAGCTGGTGTCTTTTAGTACTTGTATATTGCGTGGAATTTTCCCTTGGATGTAATCTATATCATGAGTTGTAACCACAAATAATTTTAAATTGATTTATCATAAACTACTTTTAATAAAAGCGACGGTAAATATCCACTTTGTTGTCGAAAAATTCTATTGCGTTACCCTAAATTCCATTGCGTTACCATAAGGTAACGTAATGGACTCGGTAACGCAGTGGAAAAAGTTTTGTGAAACCATATTTAAAAATGGGACACGCGAAAATGTGTGTTTCACAAGTTTCAAAATTAAAAAAAAATTATTCTGAAATAACTAAACAAACATTTTCTGAAAGAGTTTACTAAGGGCTTGTTGGGCTTTTACTTGGTTTTTAAATCAATAAGTACCGATAATTTTTAAGAAAGTTATTGGAATTCAAACTTACGGACAGCGGAAGGCGGGTGTTTTTTGAAAACGACCCTAATACAAATTAATTCCACAGTTCAAAAAATATATTAAGAAAATAAACAAAAGTACCTAACAAATACCTAAAACAAATCTAAAGTAATTGTTCAATGTATCGCCAGTGTTGTCGCAAGACACCTTTAGAAGTTGTTAACATTAAATTACCTTGGGTCAAAAAATACGGATCCGTCATACTCTTGTAGGGTGTCCCAAGGTAGGCCCCTATAGCCCCCATCACTTGTATATAACCGTTTTCTGGGGGTTGAAAACCCTGCACACACCCACCCTGTACAACACTGGGTTGGAAGTAACCATAACCTTTGTCTTTAACAATTTTGGAACTTTGCTGCGGATGATGGTGATGATGGTAAACCTTGTTGTTATTATCACTTTCAATCTTAACTTTTTGAGAACCATTCGCACCGTTATAATCCATTAATTCCTCATTTTTTTGCTGCCGATACAAGATATCCTCGATCAGAAACGACGTTCGATTGTTTTGACCCAAATTCGTCAAGTTTTGGTTCATTTTGACGTTTGCCGACGTTCAATTGTCGCAAATCGACAAACAACTGCTTGCGATAGCGCGGCACACTAGATTCGTGTGTCGCTTAAGCCACGCCCCCTATGTTTCACGAGGAGGGTAGTTTTGATTTTACCAGGGAGGGGAATTTCCTGGATATTGCGATGTTAAACTTGATTATCTCGGTAATATTGGGATTGTCGCGTGTGTACCTACTTCACGACATACGGTTGTTTTGATAAGATTGCGATTGGAGGGTGGGGGTGAAATAAGGGGTGATGATGAAGGAATTTCGTTTCCACAAATTCAAAGCAAGTTAAACGCTCTAAAACCACCCAATGCTCTTATAGCGATCTCCGAGGTGGCTATAAAACTACAATAAAACTTTTAATAAAACCAAATGATCTTCCAGACAACGTAAAATTCTATAAAAACCAAAATTTGATTATATTTTTTATCTTTAATAGGTTTTGAGATATTTAATTTTTTTCAATAATTTTGACAGCTTTTTGCATTAGAATAACCCAGAGAGCCATATCATAATTGGTACTAATTACCAATGTCAATTAGTTTTTACTTTGCCATTCATTTAAATGAAACTAAGTTGTAAACAACTTATATTAAATAGAAGAATTTTGTTTCCTCAAATTCAAAGCAAGTGGAACGCTCAAAAACCACCCAAGTAACACTGTACTCTTATTGCGTTCTCCAAGGTGGCTATAAAACTACGTAAAATTCTAGAAAAACTAAAATTTGATTATTTTTTTATTTTTAATAGTTTTTGAGATATTTAATTTTTTTCAAAAATTTTGACAGCTGAATGGTTTGTATTACCACTAATTAAAATGTTAAAAAGTTAATTAAGCAACTTGTTGTTTAATCCTTTAAAAAAGCAAATTAGTTTTATAACAGTCAATGTCGAGAGTATTATAAAACCAGTATAAGATCAATAGGGCATTAAGAGCAAATATTTTTGGTTGGAATTTAAAAAGTGCATTAAATTATTTGTATAAGAATAACCCAGAGAGCCATATTATAATTGATACTAATTACCAATGTCAATTAGTTGTTACTTTGCCATTCATTTAAATAAAATTAAGTTGCAAACAACTTATATTAAATAGAAGAATTTTGTTTCCTCAAACTCAAAGTAAGTGAAACCCTCAAAACCACCCAAGTAACACTAATGCTCTTATTGCGATCTCCGAGGTGGCTATAAAACTACAATAAAACTTTGAATAAATCCAAATTATCTTCCAGACAGCCTTGCATTTTTAAATTCTACGTAAAATTTTGGAAAAACTAAAATTTGAATATTTTTTTATTTTTAACAGCTTTTTAATATTTGTAAAAACAATACCGTTTTATTGAACGTACATATAATTATTTTTTTTTACTAAAACCCAAATGTAAAAAACCTAGGTAGGTAGGTACAAGAATATGTTTAGAATTATAATAAGACAGCGTTTTTCAGAAATTGAGAAACAACAAATTAAAACTCGATTTTTTACCAAATAATGTTATCGAACCAACCCCCCCCCCCCATAACACAATCTCGTATAAACCCGTTTAAGGTGCTCAGACGTGAGATTACCGTTGCCGGGGTAACATACGGTGGGCGGAGGCTTGTTACGGCGCGCCGGCCAATGGGAGCGCGCGTTGCGGGGTCGTTGGGTCGAGCCGGCCAATCCGAGGGCCGGATTGCAAACGCGGCTATTAGCGCTCTAGATCGCAGGCAAATTGCTCGCTTAGCAGGCGATATGCGGTGCGTTTAGCGGGGGAAGAAAGTTTTATGTGCAATGTGTGTTGCGGAGCGCGAATGTTTTCGTGCGGCGATAAAACAGTGGCGGGTCTTTCAATGGGGTAGGTAGTTAAATTTTTTCTGACCTATACTTTTTATGGTTTTATTCAAGGCGTTTTGTAATTTTAAACATTTCTGTGAAATCGGAATTTCAATTGAGTTTACTGTTTTCGAGATATTTACAAAAAAAAAATCTCCTAATTACGTCACTAGGCTATTGACAACGTTGCCAGCTTTTTCTATGGTTGCCAGTGTGTTTAGTTTAAGATTCTTACGATAGATGGCGCCACGTTATAATATTTTAGTTTTAAAACCACTTGATCTATAATTTTAGTTGAGAAGAAGAAGAAGAATTGATTTTTGACGTTTCTTTTTTTCGGGTTATGTTTTTTTAATTTAGATTATTGAAAATCAATGTTATTGTTATGTTATTTGTAATTGATATTAGATAAGTGATTAATAAATAACGGACTCCAAAGCAGAGGAATCTTGTGGAATGGTTGGTTACATTGAAC